CCCCCCCCCCCCATGCGCCCCCCCAATTTTTAAACATAAATGCATTTTAGGAAGAATGAACAACACAAAAGCTGAACGGTTGAGAGGTCGGTGGGGCTGAGAGAGCTCTTTCGAGGATTGCCCTTGAGAGAACAGCTCTGAGAGAACTTGTGACTGAGCCAAGGCCACGCCAGCAGCTGCATGTGGAGGAGGAGTGGGGGAATTCAACCCGGGTCACCCAGATTAGAGTCTGCGCTCCTAACCACTAACTCCTGGGGGGTGGAGAGGCCAGTGGCTCCTGCTCCTCCAAGAGGAGGACAGCTGCGCTTCTGAGCGCACTGAAAGACCCAGCGGCGCGCAGCAGTCACCCACCCGGTCAAGAAAGTTCCAGGGCTTTTGGTGGGGGGGCCGGGTGCTAGTTTGACGCCCCTAAGGGCCAGCGCGCTCTAGGTGAGCGCCTAGTTCGCCTAGTGAGCGAGCCGGCCCTGCCTTTAAGTGCAGGGAGCTGGCGTTTCCCCGCGCGCCCATCAGGCAGGCGGGGGGGGGGGCAGACATCCCCAACATGCCATCATCATGTCGGGATGCCCTGCCCCCTCCGGGAACACCCCCCCAAAGTCCCCCGTTGGGGGCTAAAATGGACTTGGCAACCCTATCCAGGGCACAGGTGAGGTTGCCAGACTCCAGGTGGGACCTGGAGATCTTCCAGAATTACAACTCATCTCCTAGAGAAAATGGCTGCTTTGGGGGGTGGTCTGACTCTGTACGGCATTAGACCCAGCTGAAGTCTCGCCCCTCTTCAGCTGGGTATAATGCCATAGAGTCCACCGCCCCCCCAGCAGCCATTTCAAACCCCACCGTCCACAAGGCTCCACCCCCAAAACTCCAGGAACTGACCAATCTGGAGCTGGCTTCCCTGGGCTTAGGACACGCCCCAAAAGGCACACAGAATGTGCTTTGTGTTGCAAAAAAACAAAACGCCCAGGCCCCAAAGATTCAGGCGGCATCTATCAATCGTGGTGACCGGCTACTCATAAGGCGCATCTGGCCCATTTCTCCAGCACACAAATACCCCCTTGCTAAACTCACCGTGCCCACAAGTCCCGCACCGATTTTACACACCCTCACCCTCACCTCATTGACACGGATCAGTTCTCGGATGGCCGATATAATTTTGGGCATCATCGAAGTCATCAGGCTCTGGGGCCATGAAGAGAAGGAACGGAAGGCGGGGGGTCCCGGGGACGAGGGGGGAGGGAGGAAAGACAAAAAAGAAAATGGTGAGCAACATTTTGTATACGGAGACGTGGTCAAGAAATGGAAAACAAACTCAGGGGACTGAGAACCAAAAAAAGGACAGCAGAGGCGCTAGCTCTCTCGGCATTTGAAGCTCGGAGCGTTTGCCTTGCAGAGAATCTTTCGGAGAAGGCGTCTGCTGGGCCGTTTGCTTTGTGGAAGCACCAGACGCGTCTCCCCCAATCCTTTCTCCTCCTATGATGCATCAGGGCATGCCGTTAAGTTGCAACGGATGGCTTCCGCCAAACCAGTATCTTCTAACAACCATTTTTTTAAAATTTATTTTTCCTATTTATAGCCCGCCCTTCCCGCGAGCGGGCTCAGAGCGGGGAACATTTCAACAATACAATAAGTATAATGAAAAATTTAAAACACAGTAATACACATTAAGGAGCTGCGGTGGCTCAAGGGGTTAAGACGCTGAACTGCAGGCTGTGGAAGGTCGGTAGTTCAGCAGTTTGAGACCCGAGTTGCCGCATGACGGAGGGAGCTCCCGTGTCCAGTTCCAGCTCCTGCCAACCTAGCAGTTCGAAAGCAAGAAACTGCAAGTAGATAAATAGATACCACTTCGGTGGGAACGTAACAGCGTCCCGTGCGCCTTGGTGTTTAGTCATGCTGGCCACGTGACCACAGAAACGTCTTCGGACAGCGCTGGCTCTTCAGCTTTGAAACGGAGATGAGCACCGCAACCCTAGAGTCAGATTCGACTGGCTTTCGAGCAAGGGAACCTTTACCTTTACTACATATTAGAATGGAGGTTGCAGGCCCGTAGCCAGGATTTGGTGGGACAATTCTTTTTTCTGGTGGGGCTGAAGTTCTCAGTACACGAAGATAAAGCCATTTAGGCAATATAGATCTCTCAACTGCAAGCTGTCAACAACCACTTTAGAGAGTTCTCAGCTGCTGCAAGCTAATCACTTCTGCCAGCCTGGGCAACAGTTCTGATCACAAGCCGACAGGTGGGGGGGATGACCTCTAGAGTCAAGAAAGCTAACGCGTAGGCAAATAAACTCTCTCAAAGGAGACCAGTTTCTTGACACGGAGTTCAAAGGGATCCTAGAGGTCACCTACTCCAACCCCCTTGCTCAGTGCGGGAAGTAGTCAACTACAGCACCCCACTCTGCTTAAAGGAGCACGCGCCTTTTAAAAAAATGTTTAAAAGTGATTGAAAAAAGCATTTACAGGAGAAATTCTTGTGGGGCTGTGCCTTTAAGAAAGTTGGGCAAAGCCTCCTAAAGCACCACCGTAGCGAAGGGCCTGCAACAATGTGTTCTCTTTTATCCCGGAACGAAAAGCAGTGATGGACACGGGTGTGCTGCGGAGACCCGGCCCAAGGGAGAGGCCAGAGCTGGGCGGAAGAGCACAGCTGCCCGTGGGCATGGCTTTACCCACCATTTCGTCCGAACCCAGCCCCGCTACCATGGTGCTGAGGCTGCGTAGCGAGTAGTAGAGGGGGGCTGGGTGGCTGAGGTTGCTCAGAATCTGGTTGAAGAAGCTCAGGAGTTCCAAGTAGTGCGGCGCGAAGACGTCGGGGTCCAGTTCCAGAGCGCAGCTCAGAAGCAGCAATCCCACCTGGCAGCACAAGGGGGCGCAAGCGTGCTTTGGTTAGTTTATCCTCTCGGAGCCAATTGGAGAATGGGGGTTGAGTTCCTTGGGGGGGGGAGGGCGCTCACAGGGTTGCTAACTCTGAGGTGAGAAATTCCTGGAGACTTTGGGGCCAGCTGAGGGTGGGCTGGAACCTCAGCAGCATATAAAGGCCACGGAGTCCACCCTCCAAAGCAGCCATTTTCTCCAGGGGAACTGATCTCTGCCGTCTGGAGGTCGGCTGTAATTCTGAGAACCCTCCAGGCCCCACCTGGAGGCTGGCAACCCTAACTATAGCTCACAGTGGCCCGACCAGGAGAGCCCAGGCTAGGCCAGTCTCGTCAAATCTTGGAAGCTGAGCAGGGTCGGCCCTGGCTAGTACGTGGATGGGCGACCTCCAAGGAATGCCAGGGGCGTGACACAGAGGCAGGCAAGGGCAAACCACCTCTGAAACCCCCCTTGCCTTAAAAAACAAGTCTAGCTCACCACCTAGTGGAGCGTAATGCTAAAGGAGCTAGAACTTCTGGCTGCCAGACAATCTTAGGATCTCCTGGCTATTCTACACACACTGCCGTACGATAATTCTTCATTATGATTACCTCACACTGGGTGGGGTCCTGAGACTGGGCCCCTTGCTGGATGAGCCCAAGCAGCTGCGGCCATCTCTCCAGCGTCTCGTGTTTCAGAATAATGGCAGCCAACTGTGCCAAGCCGAGGCAGACCTTGTGGCTGAAAGGGAAGGCCGAGTGGGAGGTGAAGAAGGCAGCCTGAAACCCTCCAGCACAGCTCCCCGACTCAGCCTCTCCAACCTGACACCGCCCCCTCCTCCACAGTGGAGCACAAGAGGAGCCAATCCAAACTCTGCTTCTGATGCCGTTGCACCACGGACAGCATCACTGCAGTGAGATGAGTAGAACTGAATCAGACCCTCCCCACGACTTGTGATGCAAGGAGGTGATTCTGTTGAAACGTTCACACACCCCAAATATGCCTTTCCAATTCATCCTGCCTTCCTAGTTCAGTTCTTGCAAACGACAACATCAGGATATTTTCAGAAAGCCAATGCATGTGATTCCCCCCCACACACACACACAAAAGGAGTTTACTGAAACCACTACTTTGGATTGGGGCAGGAAAACATTTCCAGTTCTAAGAGATTAGGGTATGTACTGCCCCTGCTCCAGTTTTAAATAAGAGCCCCGATAATTCGAGATCCGGGCAGCTGCCTTAAGTCGCCAAAATTCTGGGGATGTGATGTCTTTCATTCTGGGCTCCTACAGCCTGTTTTTACAATCATATTTCACTGTCATGGACTGGATCCCAAGGATCCACTCCCCTGACAATGGCACCCCACCCCACCCCGAGTCAAGAGGAAGGCACCCGGGAGAAAGCCCTCCTGTTAGCAGAACAGAGCTGCCCGATCCAGTCCTTCGGCTTCCGGAATTACGAGAGGACACACAAAACCCACAGCGGAAACCTCTAACCTCCCCCCTCCCCCGCACAAGTAAAACAAACTTAGGGGCTCATGCACAGAAAGTAAAAGAGAGGAGGGCTGGAAATGAACTCCCACACTCACTCCGTTTCCCGTTGCAGTGTGGACAGGATTAGGTTCTTCAGCCTGAAAAAGATGAGAGGCTGCATGTTGCGTTCAGCCAGAACAGAAAAAGGCCCCTGCTGGATCAGACCATCCATCCCAGCATCCTGTAGCCCTCAGTAGCTGGCCAGATGTTTCTGAGAGACCCAAAGCATGACGACGGCGTCCCTTCCACACAACTGCCCTCCCGCCCTCGAGAGCTGGTATTTCAAGGTACACTGTCTCTGTACATGGAGGCTTCATTGAGTCATCACAGCTAACGGCCAATGACCAGACCGGATTATAAGGATAATCAGAATGACCAGCCATTTTGTGGCATGCATGTTGTGGCTGCGGCAGCCCTTTTGTAGCCGTGTTCACCCCACTGTCAGCATTCCAAAGGTGCCCAGAGGGTCAAAAAGGTTGGGGACCCCGATGTAGCCTTCGGAGGTTTCAGTAATCCTCACAACAACCCTAGAAGTCAGATTAGAATCATAGATTCATAGAGCTGGGAGGGACCTCCGGGGTCATCTAGTCCAACCCCCTGCACAAGGCAGGACATTCACAAATACCGCCCCCTCCACACCCCCAGTGACCGCTGATTTAAGCAGGGCTTTTTCTAGAAAAAGCCCAGCAGGAACTCATTAGCATAATAGGCCACACCCAACAGCAGAAACTCATTAGCATATTAGGCCACACCCGCGTCAGCACAGCCCATTAGTGCATTAGGCCGCACCCCCATGTTGTCAGAAGTTTGGTCATCCAGCCACACCCACCTTTTGCTTCTTATTCTGTTTACCATGTTTGTTGTCAAAACCCAGGGCTTTTTTTGGAGCAGGAACTCCTTTGCATGTTAGGCCACACACCCCTAACGTAGCCAATCCTAATGAGTTTCTGCTGTTGGGTGTGGCCTGTTATGCTAATGACTTCCTGCTGGGCGTGGCCAACTTGGAAGCCAGCCGGAACTCCGTTCGTGTTTGTTCCTCCCCAAAAAGAGCCCTGGTTAAGTGTTATTAACATCATGGCCAGAAGATGACAAAAAACCTCCAGGTTCTCCAGCCAAATTGGCCTGGAGAAAGATCGCTTCCTGACCCCAAAGTGGCGATCAGCATTTCCCTGGGCGTATAAGAAAGGGGTCACGAGAACTAAGCATTAAGAACTTCTTCATGTTGGGGACCCTGGGCTACAGTAACGCTAACGTAGGGTCCTTTTTAAACACATTTTCACAGGTGCCGAATCGTGCACTGTTGATCCAGCTTCCCTGCACTTTCCAATGGGTTTTTACCGTGTGAAACAGCAAGATCCTGTTGCAAATGATCGCTAGAGTGCATTAAAAGTGGACTGGAAGTGCACTGTTCAGCACATGTGAAGGTGCACAAATGAACTCTTGGGCCCAGGAATTCACTCACGTGTCCTGCTCCGGGGCAGGGAGCTTCCGCCAGTGTTTGGTCATGCGCCTTCTCACCAGCACAGCTGCAAACTGCCGAATCTGCGGGGGGGGAGAAGCAGACGAGGCATGAACAGCATTCTGGGAAAGGCAAAAAGAGGCTCCGTGACAAGGGGAGAACGTCAAACTAGACGCTCCTGCAAAGGTACTGAGTGGGCTCTCACGGGTCTCTCCTACCACCACCAGCACCCTCCTGCTTCAGGGGAAGGCACGACTGATGGCAGGAGAGATCTACCCGATCCCATCCTCCAGGGTGTATATTTAAGTAACAGTAATAACGTAAGAGTCATCTAGTCGAACATAAAGTAAGGGCTGCGGTGGCTCAGTGGTTAAGACGCTGAACTGCAGACCGGAAAGTCTGTAGTTCGGCAGTTCGATATCCGAGTGCCGCGTGACGGAGTGAAGCTCCCGTCTCTGGCCCCGGGTCCTGCCAACCTAGCCGTTCAAAAGCAAGAAATTGCAAGTAGAGAAATAGGTACCGCTTTGGTGGGAAGGGAACAGGGTTCCGTGCGCCTCGGCGTCTAGTCATGCAGGCCACATGACCACGGAAACGTCTTCGGACAGCGCTGGCTCTTCAGCTTGGAAACAGAGGTGAGCGCTGCGCCCCTAGAGTCGGAGTCGACTGGCTTTCGAGCAAGGGAAACCTTTACCTTTAATAATGGACTCACGGTGACCCCAGGACGGTGGGGTTTCCAAAGTAAGAGAGGAACACAGGCGGTTTGCCCTTGCCTGCCTCTGCATAGCAACCCCCGGACTTCCTTGGCGGTCTCCCGTCCAAGGACCAACCAGGGCTGACCCGCTTAGCTTCCAAGGCTAGGCTTGGCTATCAGGCTACTGTCTATGTAAGCACTCAATTTGTTAAAAAAGACTCGTGTGTGTGCTTGTTCCAGGAGAAGAGACACCAAGTGACTCCCCCTGGAAAAACCATGGAAGCAATGGTTGCCAACAGCGTACGGCCACACACAGACAAGCCCATTAGGCAACAAGCCGAGTCCAACCAGGCGGAGCCATTTAATAAAAACAACTGAATCCAAGTAGACGTGTTAAAGTTCTGCAGTGGGGGGTAAGGCACATATGTTCCTTTGCGGACAAGGTATGCCTGGGTCCAAGAGGAGCCATCTTAGAGGAACAGCCAGAGCCCAGAGCAGGCGCGCCTCAGAGCGCAAGGAGATTAAGAACAGAAGCGCCTGAAACCAAAACACCAAGAAAATAACTAGACAAGGACACCTTTCAGCTGGTCTTCTTAAGTAAATGTCTTGGTACGTTAAAGAGCTGCGCAGAACACGACAGGCTGAGAACGTATGTAATCACGTTGCGATTTAATGCAAAGATTAATTAATTATCGCTAGCACTTGATGACACTGAACTGTTCGTAACTGAACTGTTTCTAGATGATTTTCTGTGGATTTTAAGTGTTAGTCATCTCTCAAATTGTGTAAGCCCTGAGCCTGCCTTCACGGGGAGGGCGGGATATAAATAAATAAATTAATTAATTAAATGAATAAATAAATAAGAGAACATAAGAGAAGCCCATGGTGGATCAGACCCATGGCCCATCCAGTCCAACACTCTGTGTCACACAGACGCCAAAAAGACCAAGTGCCATCGGGAGGTCCATCATCAGTGGGGCTGATGATGTGAAAGATCTCAGTGGCTCAGTGGTGGAGCTTCTGCTTTGCATGCAGAAGGTCCCAGGTTCAATCCCCGACATCTCCAGATAAAAGGATAAGGTAATAAGAATACAAGAGAAGCCCATATTGGATCAAGCCGATGGCCCATGAACAGTCCAACACTCTGTCACACAGTGGCCAAAAAGACCAGGGGCCACCAGGAGGTCCACCAATGGGGCCAGGACACTAGAAGTCCCTCCCCCTGTTGACCCCCCCCCCAGCAACAAGAAGACAGAGCATCCCTTGCCCCAGACCAAGAGTTCCTGTCTATACCTTGTGGCTAATAGCCAATGATGGACCTCTGCTCCATATATTTCTCCAGTTCCCTCCATGCTTGTATCCGCCACCACAACCTGTGGCAGTGAGTTCCATGTGTTAATCACTCTTTGGGGGAAGAAGGACTTCCGGAGGGGAAGAAGCTTTCGAGAGCCAAAATTCCCTTCGTCAGATACTTTGGACTCTCGAAAGCTCTTTGTCTCTAAGGTGCTACTGGAGTCGAATTTTTAAAAAATAAAGTTTCCAGCTTCTTGGAGAAAAAAATGGCTACAAGAAATCAGCATCTTGTCCTTTGTGCTGAAGACACAAGGTGGGGGGGGGGGAGGTGTTCAGAGAAAGGAGCCAGGACGCCAAGGGAAAACCCTGCATTATAATCAGCTCCATCAGAGCAGGGGAGAGAAGCTTCAGGGCAGAAAATTAGCATCTCTATTGAGATAAGAATGGCTCCAGGAGAAGAATGCAGTGAGATAAGATTAAGAATGGCTGTGGAGAAGAATGTTGGGGGGGGGGGGGTAAAATGGTGGGGGGGGGGGGGGAAGGCGTGCAAACAACAGAATCTGTGAATACTCTGGGCTTCGGTTTAGATGAGATCAAACCTGAACTAACCCCAGCAGACACAAACCTGGAAACCAGAGACAGGAGTTTCTGAGCAAGTGCAGAGTACCCACCCCCCACCCCATCTGCTTTTGTAATAGCAAAGGGTGGGGGTTTCACAGTGGGGGGAGGGGCTGCAGCCAGTCCTTGGGCCCCAGCACCTCTCGGGTTGAGAAACGGAGGCTGACCAAGGTCTTACCTGGGGGCTCTGAGACTCTGACATCACCTGGCAGAGGTGGGACAAGGTTGTGGGCTGCCTGAGGGCCTCTTTCAGCTGGATGGTAGCCTGGGAGGAAGAAACCCAAAAATGAAGCCGTGGGGGAGGGGGGGCCCGCTGTCTCCCAAGGGAAGTCCCCCTGACTTTGAAACCTTAATCCAGCTGGGTAGCCATGTTGGTCTCAAGCCGCAGAAGAAGAAGGGATTGGATGTATACCCCGCCCTTCACTACCCGAAGGTGTCTCAGAGCGGCTTACAAACTCCTTTCCCTCCCCCTCCCCACAACAGACGCCCTGTGAGCAGTGTGCCCTCTGAGCTGCGTGAGTGTGAGCCAGCTCACAGTTTTTTAGCCTCCAGCTCACACATTTCTGTCTCAACTCAGGATGGAGGGCTCCAGAGCAAACTCATTTAGGCAGCAGCCACATGGCTCGCTCAGAACGTTCATGCCAGCAGCTCACAAAGTAGGATTTTTGCTCACAGGACTCCGCAGCTTAGAGGGAGCATTGCCTGTGAGGCCGGTGGGCCCGAGAGAGCTCTGACAGAAGCGGCTCTTTTTCAAAGTCAGCTCTTATGAGAGCTATGGCTTGCCCAAGGTCACACCAGCAGCTACAGGTGGAGGAGTGGGGGATCAAACCCGGTTGTCCCAGATTAGAGTCCGCGCACTTCACCACGACACCAAACTGGCTCTCCAGAAGAAAGTGTGAGTCCAGCGGCATCTTGCAGACCAACCAAGTTTTATGCTTATTATCGTGTGATCTGTTTTATGGGTTTTGGTTGTTTTTATGATGGATTTTGATTGTACTTATATATACTTTTTCTCCTGCCAACCTAGCAGTTCGAAAGCAAGAAATTGCAAGTAGATAAATAGGGACCACTTCGGTGGGAAGGTAACAGCGTTCCGTGCGCCTTGGTGTTTAGTCATGCCGGCCACGTGACCACGGAAATGTCTTCGGACAGCGCTGGCTCTTTGGCTTGGAAACAGAGATGAGCACCACAACCCTAGAGTCGGACTCGACTGGCTTTCGAGCAAGGGAGACCTTTACCTTTCTATATACTTTTTACGTAAGCCGCCCTGAGCCTGCCTCAGCGGGGAGAGTGGGGTAGAAATTGAATACATAAATAAAAGCTTCTACCCAGAAGAAAACTTTGTTGGTCGCAAAGGTGCCCCTGAACTCAAGCTTGGTTTCAGAGGTTCAGTTCAGGCCCTGCACGGAACAGCCACTCCACAGCTACTACAGGCCTGAACCCTCCTACAGGGTGCGCATTAAGTGCGCCTCCTCGCAAGTTACTGGCAGGCAACACAGGTGCCTGTAATGGGCCTGCGACAAATTGAAACCAATTACAGCACCTTCTTTTAAAGGGCGCCCAGCTCCCAGTTCAGAAACCCTACGAGGGCGTATAAAGTCAGTTCCCCACCACTCTTCGAAGCAGCCATTGTTCAGAAGCCATGATGGTGGTACAAGGTTTTAGTGGGGGTGGGACACCTGAAGGGAGCCCCAAAGGCACCTCGGCATGAATGAATGATGGCTTCTTTTCTTCCGCCACAATCTGTCTTTCTGGCGGAGGCCGAGATTTTAAAAGTCCAGTCAAACAAACACGCACAATGAATGAAGCAACAGTGCCCAAAAGACCACAGAACTGGAAAACGGTGCAATTTAAAAAAAAAAACATTAAGGAAAGGAAGGCTGCAGTCCACTCCC